TTACTGTTTCGAAAATGAGTCAGCTAGGCTATTCTAATACTTGTTGCTGCTTTCCTCTTGCAGAAAATGCTTACTTTACTGTTCACAAGAAAACTGGTTATACTTTCCAAAAGATATGGTACATTGTGTTTTAAGGAGTTGAAATAGTTTGACAAAAAATATCATGTAAGACAATTTTGCTTATACTTGATATTGACAAGCCAGTTCTTCATATATTGAATGACAAAATAGCATATGCACTGTGCTTTGTGAGCTAGTAATTGGTGGAAATATGTAAACTTCTGACAGCAGTTATGGCTTGTAATAATTAATTAGATACCTTTTTTTTTTTTTTTTTTTTTTTTTTCTTATGAAATCTCACTCTTAACAGTCTTATTTTTTAATTTCTTTATATTTTCCATAAAGAATCGTAAACGAAATAAAAAAAATTAAAATTAGAGCACTGAAACTTTTCCTTAAAAGTAACGAGGTAAATAATTTGTTTACTTAAATCTAAATAATTTCACTTCCTTCCATTCGTAGAAAGAATTATCCTCCTGTAAATTATCTAAACGTCATGAAAATGTCTTTCGTCACTTGTCAAATGACGCGAAAGGTTATGACCTGCTTTGTTTTATTTTGAAACTACTTTTTTTTTTTTTTTTTTTTTTTTTTTTTTCTAAGTTAAGCTTGGCTCAAAATATTTTAAATGAACATAATTTCTGATTTTATTAAAATCAGTTTTGCAAAAATAATTGATTTTTAAAAGAATATCAGTCAGATTTTTATCTTTTTTATAAAATGGAAAAAAATGATTGTCTTTAACATTTTCGAGCACGCTAGGAACGATTTAAAAAAAAAAAAAAAAAAAAAATACCCAAAAATACATTGATCTTTCCTCTTTAATAATAATATGAACATTAGACGATAACTTGTTTTCAGCAAGTTTGGCGTCTTTTCCATCATGCTATGCTCTTTTTGTTTACTTCGTGGAGGTACCTATAATAATGCTTCATTATAGACAACTACAGTTAAATAAGACTTTGTTGAAGAGGGGTTAGAACTTTTCATACCATTTTATTAAAATTGAGTTATATTAAGTTTGAGGGGAGAAGCTGCTACCCACATTTCATTAGGTTATTCTATGACAACCCCCCTCCCTGTTCTTCTCTGGACTTCAATATGTCATAAGAGTTAAATTTGCTATACTTTCTTTCCTCTTTGTGTCCTAGAAATGTCAATGCTGATACATTTCTTTGTTCCTATTTTTCTAAAACTTCATTGTTGCTCGCTTATTCTTAGTATCTGTCTGTTTTTGTTTTTTTTTTGTTTTTTTTTTTTCTCTTTTAGAAAAACATGTAATTTAGTCTCTTCCTATACGAGATTGTCCAAAATTCACTATGTAGAGCAGATATTACATTATATTACATCCCAGCACTCTTTTTCTTACAATATTTTCCCATGTTTTAATACTTAGTTTCTGGAGGACATCTTTTGCTATTTCTACATCCCTTCAGATTTATCCTGCTGTTGTCTGGTACTACATTACCAATGTACTTATATTTATGTATTTGCTGGCAATAATGCTTTCTGTATTACAGTCAATAGTCCTTTCTTGTTTTCCATTACTATCTTGTTTAAGTGTTATTTTCAGTTTTCTAGGTCTACCATTTATTTGTCTACTGATAAACTCTAGTAGGTTTTCTACTAGTAGGATCATTTTGCTTTATGCATTTAGTAAACCTGAGAAAATGTCATTTGTCTTATTCCTTATTTTTGCATAATCACTGAACTTCTTTCCTACCCACATGTAAACCTCTAATGGGCTGTTATCTCTTCACCTACCAGACAGGTCACTCCATATTCTCTATTCTCAGTCACATCAGTTTGCACAAAAACTGTTTGTACTTTCAAAAAAAAGTGAAAATGCTATGGCAAGAAATAAAAAGGGTATGAGTTATCATGGCTTCCTTTAGCTTTCTGCCTTTTTGTTTTCCATATTTGGTTGTTTATACAGGACTTGCATGATCTGGAGGGTGGCAAGGTATGACATTTGGGACATCTTATGCTTGTCATGATAGCCTGAGTGAAGATCTGTTAATCTATCATCTGTCAAAATGTGCTTATGGCTCACAACTTCCAAATGGGTGGTCCAGAATGCTCTTGGTAGATAACTTGTACCCTTCCAACAGGCAGCATTGGAACTACCTTCAATTCTTCTTTTTTTTTTTTGGAAGGTTAGTGGGTGGCCATTTTAAAGACTTTACTTGGTAGTTTTACCAGGCATTTGACTCGGATAAAATCATTTACTGTCAAGTTCTATATGGATGTCATGACCTGCTCCTACAGGGGACTTTTGAATCACACACATGCAGACTGTTTTCAGTAGAAGTTACAGATTATTTTAATTGCTTTCTCATGTAAATCGAGCTTCTAACACTTCCGTGTCCTGCCTTAACAAACCCTTTTGTGTAATCTATGGAATCACTTAATTTTATATTGCTTACTCTGATAACATTCTAATTATACATGGCTTAATCATTTTAATCTGAAATTATTCTGGTGATTACTCCCTCCTCATAGTGTATGGACCAATTTAGCTTATAACCATTTAAATTCAAATTGATTAACCTATCAAATTTTCAATCTCCTAATTAGAAAGTATAAAAGTAATCTTCATAACTTTTATCAGTTTCTATTTCCTTGAAGAATATAGAACTTCAAAAATTTTAAATGGTATTTTTGTCTCTGTCTCTGTGTGTGTGTGTGTGTGTGTGTGTGTGTGTGTGTTATTTAAAAGAAATTGATTAATCTTTGCTTTTTATCCATATGAAAATTATCAAATTTAACCTTAATATAAATGTCAATGATGCATGAATGCCTTTTAAATAAATAGATTTTAATTAACTTTTGGAGCATTAAATTTAATGAAATAAATTACACCTGAAATGACTTCAGCAAATAACTTCTGTTGAAACTAATTCAAACTGGGACTGTTTTGTTCCGTCTTTTATAGAGAATTATAATTATGCCTGCAGTGAGTAAAGTGAGCTAGATTTCAAGATAAAAATGACTACTAGCAGCTTAATATTTAGCTTAAATGCTTCCTAAAATCAGCATGATAGCAATGTGATTGTTTATTTTTATTTATTTATTTTTTTTTTGTTCTGAGTTGGCCCTCCTCCAAATAACCATCTTTTCCTTATTGGCTTCCATGTAGGTGAACACATTTGGCTGCAGACAGCCTGAGTCAGCTCACACCTTTAGCCTTTCATTCTCTTAGTTTTTACTAGCGTTATAAGAAAATTGCTGGGTTAAGAGCTGCTGTAGCAGTCAAAGCAACTTTTGTGGGAGTGATGCTGCTGCTGCTATAACTCCTGTTCTACTTCATGCCACTATTTATCTAATGTTTTATGAAAGATAAGGTTTCTTGCCAGCATTTTGAAACAGGCAGTGGATTGAGTTGGGAGTTAGCTGTAACTATTTCCAGGAAGGATTATTGTTCCAAGATGGATGCCATTCTCTGCAATGCACTACTTAAAGTGTATGAAATGTGAACATATTTTATATGTTGGTCTTTGGTAAGATCTCTTATACTTCTAATCCAATTTACTATTGGAAGGGAAGAACTCCTGTGATTTGCATTAGGAACACACTATGGATTTGTATAGCAATGAATATGGTTACGGAGTTAAATGCTGGAATAGTTATTTGTAGGGTTTCTTAATCAGGAATGGACCAGAATTTTATTTTCTGCTAAGTTTGTGGGGATTTTAAGTGTTTTTAGTTTACATTATACATAAGCTGTATAAAGTTTAGTGACAATTTATGCTATTGTGATGTAAATACTGAATTTAAAAGTAGTTTAAATGCTTCAGTTCATAAACTACGACTGAATTCTATTAACATGAAAATCTAAGTATTAAAAAAAAACAAATCTCTGAATTTATAATTATTTATATTATAGATAATTCTTACTATTAAAATTGATAACTGAAGTGAGTTTAAAAGCTCTTAGTTGCTGAAAAGTTCTTGACCTAACCAAGAAGGGATACTAAAATAATCTGGGGAAATAGGTCAGGTTGAACTTTTTTAGCACCTTTTTATTTGTATTGTCCCCCACCCCCTCCCCTTTTTATAAATAGGGTGGCGGTACCAAATCAGTGATTCGTGTATTATCTAAGCAGGATGTCATTTAGTTCCTCTCCCTCTTCCCATCCAAAGTAAAATGTCTGTTCACCAATTGACTGCCGTTGGACAAAAAATTTTAACTGGTTGTTAAATACCAGATTACTACCTCAGTTTTAAATGTTAACTATTTAACATCAGCACAGTCTATAACTAATTTGTTTTAATCTTCATCATCTACTGTTAAGTTTCTTTTAAAGTAAATATAATTTTTCTGTTAGATTTTCTCAAGCTTGTGGTTGACTAGATTTATTCTTTCACTGAATTCCGCTTTAATATAACCTTTAAAATTTACTTAAATATTAAAATGATCATGAATAAAAGGTCTTCTTTCTCACCCTAATGTTATTTTACTGTTTCATTATCTAAATAGCTTTAAATTTAAAAAAAAAAAATAAAATAACACAGAATACTGGTTTTAGTTCACTTTTGATTGTAGCACTCTTGAAGTAATTGCGTTATAAAGTAGAATTCTCAAAGGATTTTTTTTTTTTTTTTTTTTTTTTTTTTTTTTTAATACTTTGTAAATGTTTTATGAAAAATATTGTAAATATTACATGCTGAGTCTTAATATTTAGCTTGTTCATTTATTTAGTCTATTTACCTGGTGATTTGTTTGTATTTTCTTATGCTTGATGTCTTAATCTTACAGTGCTTGTGTTGTATCATTACAGTTCCTTTTTTTTTTTTCTTAGAGTTGTAATTAATGTTATATTCTTCTCAATCTGTCACTTCCGACAATTAGTGAGGTTTTCACTCATTCAATATAGAATTTGTGGAATTAAATGTTTTTTGTATGAAAAGCTTGAATAGCCTTTATATTTTATTTTTAGGTTGATCATTCAATTGACGCAACTACAAGTGGCAAAATGACAGTTGACTATTACAAAGTACTTGGTGTAAACAATAATGCAACTGATGCTGAAATAAAGAAAGCGTAAGTAGAAGTCTTTTGCATATTTATTAGCTGCCTTATAGAATTTATAAGTTTTCAAAATGCTGTTTTTATATATATATATATATAGGGAAATAATTCCATAATACTATTCTGCATGGTTTAACTTATTTGTAGAAACTTCAAACTTGAGATAATAGATTTTGTGGTGAAAAATTATATGGAGCACAACTTGTGCAAAATCTTGAATATTGTTCATGAAATAATGCACCTGTAAAGTGTTGCATTTAATTGGTAGAAAGGACAGCAGTCTTTATTTAAATAGTATATTTGTTGCTGTATTACTGGTATTTAGCATGATGGGAGTGGGGAATGTTCTTTAATGCTACAAGGCTGAAAAAAAGCTGAACTAATTTGAGAAAATTACTAGTCTTCTAGATTTACTTGAACAAGACAGTTAAGTGTAAAGCTCCATTTCATAGACACTTGGTTTATTTCAAATTTATTATGAATAGCTGCCAAAATACAACTATTGTCTGAAATAGTATGTAGTTATTAGTTAAAAAAATGGTAGCACCCTGTTTGACCAAAATTCAGGCCTTTTGTGGTGAGACTGGAGTGATCTCCCAGGGATCAAGCCTGGGCAATAGTTATAGAGCTCATGCATTTCCCAAACCTCTTCATCTTTGTCATACTGACAAGAGCCAAAGGAATACAGTATTACATTTGGGTCATTCTAATGACTCACCATAACTAGAAATTTTGTATTTTATTAAAATTTTCAACTTGAAAATAATTATTACATATTTAAATGTACTGAATCATGTAGTAGTTTTTTTTTTTTTTTTTTTTTTTTTTTTTTTTTAATGCACTATATATTGTTTTGCTGAGTAAAATACCAGTGTTTCAATAGTCCTTAAAGTCTAGATTTTTCTTAGTTATTATTGTTGCTTTTTCTCTTCAGCTATCGGAAACTGGCCCTCAAGTGGCATCCAGATAAAAACCCAGATAGAAAAGAGGAAGCAGAAAGAAAATTTAAGGAGATCTCTCAAGCCTATGAAGTACTGTCTGATAGTAAGTTCTTAATATAATTTCTGTTCATGAGTCAGGGTTAAAGAAATTCTGGTAATTGTGTGTGTTTTTTTTTTTTTTGTTTTTGTTTTTGTTTTTTTTTTTGTTTTTGTTTTTGTTTGTTTTGTTTTTTCCAAGTGGGGTGGGGGAGTGTTCACAACCTCCAGGTAATACTCTTAACTGATCACATTTGATGGGAGAATGAATATGGAAAGTCAGCGGTGACCATGATACTGGGAATATTTATATATTGTACTAATACAATAGTCATAAAAGTATTATTCATTTATGACTATATAAACATGGTTCTCTCTCATGCATGACTTTTATTCCATGTCTCTTTAAATTGTCCCTATTACAAAGATTGCTTGTTTTTTCCACTTTTTTTAAAATTTCACCTTGTAGATTATCAGTTCCCATACAATTCGAGGTGCATTCAAGGATTATACAGTTCATTTCATATAAAACCATTGGGTCTACATCGGAACTTGTATTGCTGACCAAGTGAATGAACATTGCCAGCTGCATTTTAAACTAGACTTGTGTCTTTGGATATTAGTTTGTCTTTTTTCTTTATAGTTTTAAAATGCATAAATTAAAGTACTTTTTTCATTGTGGGGTTTTTTTTTTTTTTTTTTTTTTTTTTTTTTGTGGGGATTTTATTAATAAAATGAGCATGTGTTTTAGCTTTGGTGCATGGATCAAAAACAAATGTAATTTAAAATCAATTTTTTAATTTTACTGATTTTAGAAATTTGGCCTTATTTTGTTGGCTAAAATGAACTTGCTACATTTAAAAAAAAAAAAAAATGGATACCTTTTTAGTTTTACAAATATGCATTGTCTTTTTGTGATTCTTTTTTGTTTATGTATTAGTACTTTCCACACCAGAGACTCCTACCAGGGCTTTTAATAATTTACATTTAATTTTCTGTTCTGTGACTTAGTTTTCTAAGTGGGCTAGAAGCAGGCTGAATAAGACCACAAATTCCTTGCAATATAAACTGATGAAGCTGAAAACTCAAGGGAATATACTAGTGATATAACTTTTAATGGAACTTTGTCTCCACCTCTAAATGAATGAAGGAATAAAAGGCACTCTGAATTTGAGTATTCAAACAACTCTTAGTATTTGTGATGGACTAGTTCAAATAACCTTCAGTTACGAATGTCAAGGCCAGTGGGCTGTGGTATACATTGATAGAAACTCAAATCAGAAGAAATGCAGGGTGGGGTCTAGGAAGTTTCATCAATTCCAGTAAATGTATTTTTATTTGTTTCAGTTTTCTTCATTTGAAAAATGCTTTATAATAAATGTTTGAAGGATTGACCAATGACTTATTTCATGAAACCAATTTCTAAGTTTTTCATATTACAGAGAAAATAACTGAAATCCTCATTCCAAAACTAAACTTTCAAACATGCACAAGAGTAAAAACATCTGCACTTCTGCCTTAACATATCTTTTTAGGTTTGTCTCTGCCTTCTAGTTGTGCATTCTTATAGTTGGTACTATTGTGGTCACACGATCCAAGTTTGACATGATTGTACCTGTTTTCTGCTGTTACAGTGTAAACATGGCCATTCTGCTAGCAGTTTGCACTAAGGAGGAACAAAGAGCAGTGATCCAAATCTTCAGGGAACATGCTACCTCCTTGATAACTTTCCGGTTTGCCATTACCATTACTATAGCTAGCAGAATCTTATCAGTGATGGCAGTTGATGCTTGTCCAGCCACTTTTAAACTTCTCAATCCACCCAATAGTGTACTGTCACCATATTTCTGAATTTCAGCCCTTGACACACCTCACAACCAGAGAAATTGTCACTGCTTTTTGTTCTTCCTTGGCGTACACTACTTAACCATGTTTACACTATAACAAGAAAACTGGCACAATCAAGTTCAACACCTGACCAAAATATTACCAACTATAAGCACACATGGACAGAAGGTATTGTGACAAACCAGAATATGTTATGGCAAAAGTGTAGATAATTTTTGACTTTCCCTTGTATTTCCAATTGACAAGTTCAGGATGAAGGTATGGCAAGTTCAGAAGGATTTACTTTTAACCTGTTTTCCTATCAGATTGTGCTTCTGGCTGGTGTAAATGAGTTATTGATGAACTACTGAAAAAGAATAGTTTCATCTCTATGCTATGAATCATCATAGGAAGTTGTAAGGCATTAACTGTTGATATGAAACTTATTTGAAAGTCATAAGTGGCCTTTTGTGTTATGTCTTAACTATTTCATTTCTGAGTATGCAATTGTTCCTGAAGTTTAGGCTGGTTTGATTTAATAATTGATTCCATTAATTATATTTTACTTCAAGACTATAAATGTCATATACATAAACATTTTTAATTATTCTGAAGCCGGCATCTTCAATTATATGCTGAAATTGGCTTCTGTCCCAATAGTACGAGATGAAAAACTCTCAAAATTCAGACGAACTTTGACTAGTCATAGCATCATTGCTAATTGAGCTACCAGGTTTGGTAAATTTTTTTTTTTTTTGTCAGACACACTTTGCCTGATTTTAAAGGTTTTTTTTTTTTTTTTTTTTTTTTTTTTTTTTTTAATGAAAATAAAATTTTACTTGTGATATCAGCTTAAAGCCAACTGAAATTTAAATTTATTCATATTAATTCTATGACTTATTGCTAACTTCAGCTTGGAAGGTATTAACATTAGGGTTCACTTCTGAATTCTGGGTTTATCTATCTACTATAAATATTAAATCTTTAAAAATATTTTTTTTTTTTTTTTTTTTTTTTTTTAACCTACCTGGATATTCGTGTTTCACAAGGTTTTTCCAAAACCCCTCAACCAACAATGAAAACCTAATGTATCGATCTATAAAGAGTATTCAACATTTTTGATCTTTTTTTTTTTTTTTTTTTTAACATCCACAGCCTTTCATGAACACTTTCTAAATTTATGAATTTTTTTTTTTTTTTTACAGAACAAAAAAGAGATATCTATGATCGCTATGGATTAGAAGGTCTTACTGGAATGAATGCTGGTCCTGGTGCAGCTGACTTTGAATTTGGTTTCGGTTTCCCAACTTTCCACTTCAGAGATCCAGAGGAAGTATTTAGAGAATTCTTTGGTGGAAGAGATCCTTTTGCAGAATTTTTCTCAGGTATTGTAGAGGATATGTATGTTCTTGAAAGCCCTGGGAATCTTGTACATGCAATAGTTCACATGTCTCTTAATCTGCTCCCTCTCTTAGTATAATGAGGGATCTAAATTTTGATTGCTTTAAGCTTGGAATTGTGTATGGGGAAGGGTGATGTTAACAACCTTTCTTACTCTTGTATGAAAGCATTGAAATGTTAGGCAACCTGAATATTGCTTAAATTGTGTGACCTTTTCTTACAGCATCCTTTGACGGTACCCACAGTGGTGAGTTCTAGTGCACTTCTGTCCTTGCTTTACTAAATTTAAAGCACCTCGACAAATATGTTCGACTTGTTTGAATACACTTTGTCTATAAAAATACAAGTATACAGTGGTTAAATTTTCTTAAGAAAAAGAATTGGACTATAATCCCCCCCCCACCATCTCCTTCAGTAACTCACTTATAAATTATTTCTTAATATTGGACAGAGCTAATGTAATTATAGCTTCCCACAATCATGGATTTGTACTAATAGAAACAATTTAGGTACCAAATATTGCCGTTTATGATTTGCTTCCAAAAGGTTTCTCTAATGATTAGTTTAGCAGACCCATATATTTTTTATTTTTTTTAACACCCATATTTCTTAATTTCCACTTACTAAAAAGATTCAAAGCTTGCTGCTTTAAAAACTTTTACAAATTTAAAAGTAATTGAAACTTACTTTGCCATTAACTTCAGATGGAAGCAATACTGATTTAACCTCCAAAGTTGATTCCTGAAATTTTCAATATTTAATCTATTTATATAAGTGTTTAGGTTTTGAAACCAGTAAACTATCTGCTACATTAAAGGATTTTTTTTCATCAAGCCTATTCAGTCCATTTGTGTTTTTTCCCTCTGTAGACAAATCTAAACTATCACATATTGCAAAATGTTTTCTTGTTCTGCCTCAACATTTTCTTCATTAGAATTCTTTCATTTATCTTTTTTCCAATTAAAGTTTACCTAATCCAGGCATGAAATACAAAGGATTTGTGGCATTTTTATTCTGAATCTGATAATCCACAAATCCATTACCTACTTTTCACACTACAGATTTTTTTATCTGCAAGGTTCATTGTTCCTGTAGAACATAAATCCTTCTGGACATTCCCACTTTTTTTTTTTTTTTTTTACAGGCTCATGTGACTGAAGACTAACTTTTTGAGGCCATTTCGTAGTTGGTGTTACATTTTAATTGCATTTTGTGTACTGCACTTTGAGTAAAATACAATTAAGTTAGTGTGTACACGCTAGTCATCTCAGAAAATTGCATAAGGCTCCCTTTGTCTGTCTTTTTTTTTTTTTTTTTTTTTTTTTTTTTAATCATGAATATAAAAAACTGAAAAACACAAGGATGTCCAGTGATCAAAGCAACTTTCATATTGTCAGCTATTTCTTCCATTTGGTGTTACTATTAAAATAAGTTTTCTATTAATCACTTTGTGAATCTAGCTTTAATCTTGCACAAGTGTGATATTTGTTGCACCAGTTTCTGAAAAGCTAATTTTTATTTTTAGCTGGGGAAAGGCTTTTAACATTCAACTTCAGGTAAAAAAAAAAAACAAAAGTGCACTTATAAAAAGATAAGCTGCCAGCATGGTAGAGAAGGCCATCTATGGAAAGGGGGTATTTGGTCTAATAGTTAATCTGACTGGAATACCATCACCAATAGCCCTGTACATGAAATAATAACATGGTAGTTGTATTTCCAATAATGGCTTATTGATTTTTTTTTTTTTTGATTTTTTTTTTTTTCTCTTCCCTCTGCTGTATTTTTTAAAATTTAACAAATTTATTGTATTTCTTGTTTTTTTTTTTTTTTTTTTTTTTTTTTTTTTTTTTTTTTTCCTTAAAAGCTAAGTATTGATGACTTTGAAATTAACTTTAGTTTTAACTTTGATATTATTTGGTGGGGGCTAGGAACAATTTTTACATCAATGCAACCCACCATTTTTTTTTTTTTTTTTTTTTTTTTTCTCACTACCCAAAAACTTGATCATAAATAAATCAGTTTTAAGTTTGCAAGACTGTCTTTTATCATCACTCTAAGTTGTTTTGTTTTAGAATTTATTTTTCTAAGGCTATTACAGACATTTGTAGCTTTTCTTAGGCTTTGGGAAAATTTCCAACTACTTGTTTGAGCCAATTAAAATGCCAAAACCTTTTAACATTCTTTAACCTGCATATGAATTACATGCAAAAAAAAAAATCTTTGTCACATGTTCAATATCTTCGTTTTTATATGGAACAATACTCGAGTTTATATTAATTTCTGCTTTTGTATGTACAAATACTTTTTATTTAGCTTCTGAATTTAAAGAAACCCAATTTCTCTATAATCATAGTCTCTTATTCAAAACTTCATGAGTTACATAAACATTCTGGTAACTATTGGCAACTTCCTTTTTAATTTCAATTTCATTTTAAAGAATTTGTCCAGTAATAAGGTTGCATAATTGTAAATTATCACCCAAAAAGTGGCTAATAAAAATCAGACCAATCCATATTTATTTTCCTCTGATGAGGAATTATTTAATATTGTTGAAAATTATCTGCTTTGAGTATGGTTGCATGTCTAATTTTAAGTGATGCAGTTTGACATGTGCAGTGTTTCATTGCATTTATAGTCAACCTGGTATTGAGATAGAAAAGAAAATAAACTTGCAGCTGCTCAACCTGTTACTTTCATTGGTTTTAGGGGTGCGAAGATGCAGAAGTGAACCAAACGATAGAATGTTTCAACATTATTTTCCAGGCTTTCCTTCTCCTGCCCTTTTTGACCCTTTCTTTGATGATTCTGTCTTCAATGCTGGCCCAAGGTAAGTAATCATCCACTATTCATTCCTCCTTTGCTGTTTAGCACTGAGGAAAATGGTAATGGCACATGGGCTTTGTCTGTCCTCTCCAGGACTCTGAAGTAGCAGATAGCTTATGTTGTCATTGTTGTTTATTCAGGTACCTTTCTTGCATGCTGGTACTTGTAAGTTGTTTTGCTTTGAACATAGCTTCACATCTTTCTAACATCCATCAATGTTGTCAAGAAAACGGTATGTGAAAATCGTTACTATAAATTTATTGGTTATCAAATGCTTTGCAACTTAATTACCATTTAACCAATTCTAAGGCTAATTCTAGTTTGTATATAAGGCTTGGATTATTATCAGACAATTGTATAATTGTAATTAAAATGTTAACAATTATTGTTAGAGCAAATTTTGGTGGTTACTTTTTTTTTTTTTTTTTTTTTGTGGACACAGCATTCAAGCATGAAATGCTGTTGCCTCTTGGTGTTGACCTCAGTATCTCCTTCATATTTACATAGACTATCTTGTCTACACATGTGTGTGACATATATGATCTTAAGGTATTCTATATTCCCTGGCTTGCCTTAGAAAAAATAAGCTCAGAAGTCTGTTCATGTCAATTGCAGGCACATTTGTGGTTGATAAGGCCAATGTGGGACAGGCATGTAGCTGCAGTGGAAGGTCCTACCTAGGCTCAATAACATTGCAGTACTTTTTTTCCCCTCTTCTTATAGAGCAGCCTTGCAGTATGACCCAGTCAATGAGGTGAGGTGCCAATGTTTAGACTGAAGAGGCATCCAAGTTGTTTCCAATCTGTTTTTCTTTTGGAAAATGGTGTTCATTCTGGACAGAACTCCAGCAAGCACTTGTTTTTACAGTTACTAACACATGTCTCCCAAGCACTCCCTCCCAGGCCATAAAATCTTGGCCTACTCTGGCATTGAAATTGCCAAGGATTGTAACCATATTGTCTGCAGGGATATCTCCTTGTAGGCTGTGCAGATCTGAGTAAAATTTATCTTTCTACAGGATCTGCTTGTAAATTGGAGTACACACTAATTAGTGTGGAATATTGAAGATTAATCAGTGGGAGGCACATAGATGATGCAGTCAGAATAACCTGTTGGCACATTTTCAAGCTTGGAGGCAATGGAGTCCCTGATCATTAAGCCTGTGCTCGAAAGACATCTCTCTGCTACTGAATTGTCTGACCAGTAGAGGGTATATCTATCTGGTGCCATGTTCTTGTTTGGCTGCTTTGATATGAACTTGTCCCTCAGGATTGCACATTATCTTGCCCCCTTTTTTTTTTTTTTTTTTTTTTTTTTTTTTTTTAATGGCCACCTAGGTCTTGATATTTCACACCATGTGACTTCTTCCTCTGGATGTATGTGAAATGCCTCTTGTACATACCTCCCCTTCTCAGAAACACGGATGATCTGAAGACACTATTAACTGAAGCCTTCTGGAAGCCATCAACAATGCTATGCTTGGTTGTGTTTGGCAAGAATTGCCTTATCATTTGGATGTGTATTGCATAACCCACTGTGCTCACATTGAACACCTGTGAAAAAAAAATCTGTACAGAAATGACTTTTGAAGCACCTTGTCTTGTTTGTGGTGTTTTTTGATAAATTGTTTTCATTTGTCACTTATGGGGTGGGAGATTTAAGTATAAAAGGTCTTGAAAATGATCTAATAGATATTTATGCCATTATAAAAGTGCATCCTGAAAATACATTAGGGTGATCTGTTACATGATTTGGGACTCAAATTTTACAATTTGAAGTAGATCTCAAATTCTAAATCTATACTTGTTACTCATTAGTCAAGTCAGAACATTTTGGGCCTGTGATGTTTAATATTGAACAGATAACCTAACTATAAAAATATAAATCCAAAAATATTGAAACTGAAGTTTAAAAACCTAGAGTGGTATCTGTATAAGATTAACTATCATGTGTTTAATTAAGCACAACAGCCTTGTTGAGCATTAAGTTATTTATGCCATCTCCTTTCAGGATGTAGATGTATGGCTGTCTTGATTCACTTTTGTTTGACTTGCCATGTCTTGAGGAAAGAGTGGTTTTTCTCATTCTTCGTTTTTAAATTCAGATATTCTCTTAGACTGGCTGCCACTCAAGGCTAGAGAATCCAGTCTATCCTCTGTAGAAGTTGAATTCATCCAAAAGCATTAATAGAAAAAGTGAATGAAACTATATAGGTTAAAATTTGAACTCTGCTTCCAGATTCCATTTTCTGTACCAATAACTATTACATTACCTACACATCAAATACCTTAAGTCTGTTAACTAAGGCTAACAAACTAGCAATGGTTATATAGCTTTCTATCACTAATTTGGTTAACAAAATAGGTGATGGTAGGAATTAACATTGAATGTTCTGTTTCTTTTTAGTGGGGTCTTCTCCTGAAGAGAACTGATTTTAAGACTTATTTTGTATAGTCTGTCTTGTCCAAGAGAAACTTGGATTTGAATGTAATCTAAATATTACAATATACAGTTAACACAATATGTAAGAATTAAATAGTTCTAATACAGATTAAAATATATAATTGCCTTTCGGTTGAAGTATCAAAGTTACCTTTTTTTTTCTTTTTTTTTTATTATTATAAGGCATACAAAAACACAGCTTATTGGAATTTAGTAAATAGTTTGTCCCCTCCCCTTTCCTTAATTCTTGTGACTGATGGGATAGGCTGTAGTAACTTAAAGTTCAGCTGTCTCTCTCTCACACACACTCCATCTCACTTTGAGCCACTTTATTTTATTGCTATATAAAATGCTTACTAGAATGATCAAAGCATAGATGGTCGTCCTGTGGAAAGTTCCAGATAGGAACTCGGCTTTTAAGCCACACTTAGAACTATGGCTCGAAACAAAATGCTCTGATTGGGTGGTATGCAGATCATATTGAACAAAGAAAATGATTTCAAGTGGTTAGCTCATTTGCCCAATGTCCTTGCTACTCTACTGAAAATTTAGTCATTCTCAAGAGAATGGTTTAATTGGTGAATGGCAATTTATCGGCATTGAACACTGCACAACATCCACAGAAATTCATTCTAATCTTTTGCACGAAGAAATATAACATCACAAAATCAATGATTACTAAAACTACTTGGAGCATACATTTCATATTAATGTTGTCTTCATAACTTTGGCACCACAATAAGTTCTCGCATTTTAATTGAACATGTCTTTGTAAAACTATGGCACATTCTGTAATTATAACTCATAATTACATATTTCTAGGTAGGTCAGTTACCTGGCTAATGTAAAACTTGAGCATTATGAGACTGTTGCCATGTCACTAGATTAAAATCTAGGTTACTATAGTGTGTACATATGTAGAATATTCTGCACATTGACAGTGCAAATATTTCTATGAATCCTCTTGAATTTTTCCTTGATTTTTAGGGAAGTCTTTAATGTGAGATGCAGAAGTGATTCAAACAATTAGTATCCCTTAAAAAAAAAAACAAAGAAACACATACTCTCTTGATAATTTTGCTGAGGATGTTTTAGAATAAGTTATGTTCATTGCAAATGCTTGTTTACTTTGCTTTGGTTATTTGCCATACTGTTTCTAATGAACTATTTCTGCTTTGTGTTGTCCTGGTTGATGGGGTAAGTGCAACACTAAAATTCTCATTTCTCCTATTCATTTTATTATTAACCTTCTTTGTTAAAATGCAGCGATGAGGCCAGGTATGTCACTTTACATTTCTAATGTAACTCTAATGTTTGCAGTTGGAATTCTCTTGCAGTTGGTTTTTATTTCTAATATAAATAGAAGAATCTTGCCTGCATTTCAGTTTAAAACATTAAAGTATATAAAATGCTTGGACATAATTGATGCTAAATTTAACTGTATATATTTCTCATTTTAAAGGTTTTAAAATATTTTTTGTTAAACTATTTTACTCTAAGCATTTGGAGCAACATTTTGGTTAATTGATTTATTTGCAGGCTATTTAACACTTTATAGTAATTCTTTTATAAAAACATCTGTAAGATTTTTTTCTTTCTGATATTCTGCAAACATTAAACTTTGTTCACAGCCAGCTGCTTTACTCACTGACCATTTCAGTTTTAAAATTTAAACTGAGCTAAAAACTAAGATTCACTAATTTTGCTGAGAAATAACTAATTGGCTCAAATTCCAAGTTGAAACCAAATGTCTTTGCCAATTTACTGTCATTTCTCAATTAAATTATGTAGAATTATGAGGAATAGGTAAGTATGAGATTCATTCTTAAAGACTTTCATTATTACAGTGTTTTAAGTTTCAGAATAGCACTTGCTTATATAATGTGAAAAGTAAGATGGGAAAAAGGTTTAATAAAGATTAAAGTTTTGAATTTTCTTTACTCGGAAAAAGATACTTACAAATAGCAATATTTAACTTTTATTGTTCTAATATCGGTAATTGAAACTGATCTTAAAATCATTGAACTCTCCTATTAAATGTTGGTGCTTATATTTTACTCATGTTAAAGTTACTAAAATGTGAAACTTCCATTGCTGCAACTCACTTTAAATCTTGTCTTTGACAGTAAACAAGTATATATTAGTAATTTTAATTGAATATTTTGTACCTAAATTTAATGAAACAAATCTTTAAAAAGAATCATTTGCTAATATTTCCTCTTTTCAAAGCAAATATTGATTCTTTTTAATCATTTTGAAGATTCTCTTCATATAGAACTTGCAACCATTAGGCTATTTGTTTTCCTCTTTAACTTAACTTTTGTTTTAATATTCATTAATCTGTTTACCATAACTTGTTTCATTTGTTGCACTTACCTTGATTGCAAAAATAAAACCCTAACCATTGATGTCAAAACCTAATATGGTTCTACTGATAAATCTTGAAATGTTTAAATTCTCATGATTTTTAAAAGTATATGAATATTTTTTAAATTTAAACTACTTTCTCTATTAGTTTAAACAATCCATTTTCTAAAATATGGATTTAGCCTATTTAGATATTTGTAAAACTACTCATGAACCTTATAATTTATTTAGGTTTAATGTTATGCTTATAACAATACTTCTTTATATTGGAAAAAGTATTGTTTATAATAAAGATACAGTTTATAAAGGTCCCTTTTCAAAAAGGGTTCAGTCCTGAAAAACAATTTTTCTAGTCAGCTTGGCTCAATTTCTGTACAAATTGCCGAGTTTTAACTATTTACAAAAAGTGTTTAATCAATATTTTATATTGTTAATTACCTAAAGCTAATCGAGCAAACATCAATGTTCTAGGGTTTTCTTTTTGAAACTTTCTGTACAAGTAGTTTGACATCATTGTTGCATTGAATTTGTAAAGATAGTGAATTGACTGAATGAGCTGGTTCATCTACCCCTAAATTGCATGTAAGGGTAGATGGTATTTGCACATTCCCTGTTTGGGCTGTGACTTAGATCACGGCAGGGTCGCAATGTCTGTTGAGGCCAAGTCCGAATTGCAAATCTGAAGGCCTGGATGTGATTTCAGTCGAAGACGACATCATAACAGACGTCAAAGAATGGAACAGCAGCAGCAAGGAGTTAGCCGCAGGCAACGAGGACCTTTTGGCTTTGGTTCACCTTTTGGTTTTGGATTCCCAAGTCTCTTTGATGACCCATTTGACATGGCTCCAGCAGGGTAATTAGAATATTTAACTTTCCTATTCTTTCTCCACTTCTTGCTTAAGCCTCCCTTTTATCCTATAGTTTCTTAACTTTCATTCACTTTGTTTCTCAATATTTTCAATGTCTTGCATTTTATCTACTTCTATTACTTAGACAACTAACCATTTTGTATGCTTTGAGTATTAACTCTCCTGTTTAACATGAATGTAGAATGTCACCATATTGGAAGAACTACCTCCTGTATAGTTACTCATAACTTAAGTTGCTTACATTCTCCCCTCCATCACCAACACTTAAAACAGTAGTTGGTCTATGATTTCATGTCAGTGCTACTTCAATTGAAACATATTGGAGATTATTATTTTTTTTTTTTTTTTTTTTTTAAATCTTTGAAATTGTTACTTTTCCATTTCATTGAGAATGGTGTGCCTTGACTAAATCAAATCTTACCATGTTACATTGCTTAATTTACACCTAAATATTTGGGAGGAAAAGCTGAAATAAATAAGGGAATTATTTACATTTAATCTAGTGATTAAATATGGATAATTATGTAAATTACATTCTATTGATTTCAACTATATTTTCAATATAACCTCAATGCTATGTATAAAAAAAATGTCTATAATAAATTGGTAACTTTTTATATTCTATATTTGTATCTATATACTTATAGTAAAATTTGTTTTGGCTTGATGAATAAATAAAAATACCATACTCTGTTCAGTTTGAACAATAGTGGGAATAATTAATTCAGTTAAAATTATTTATTATATGCTTTTAATATTGCATTTTATATAAATGTATACAATAGACTACTTTATCAACTTCATTTTATTTTCCAAGTCTATGGACAGCCATATTTACATTTGATTTTAATAGTATCATTCCTAAACTAGACTATCCTACTTTGTAAAATCTTTTACTGAATAAATCTGTATTAAATTGAAAATAATAGTTGAATTTAGTTATGTCGATATTAGTTTGATGGTCCAAATCAAAGTGGTTCACTTTTGAGATTTATTCCAAAACCAGTTGCATGGTTATTGCTGCTGGGCTTGATGTAATATTACTTTATTCTCTTTGTACTTTTAAAGAGTCTTCTGAAGATTCAAAGCTAGCACTTCTAGTTTACTAATGGGAGGGGGGGAGATTTACTTGGAATCCATCCTCACCAAAATAAAATTAATTTTAGTTTTTAGATCTCTATCTATATATATATATATATATATATATATATATATATAAAACAGTTACTTAAATCATTATAATTAGTCTTAAGCAAATACAAGTAGGCTGTTACACAGCCACTGCTATAATCTCATTGGTGCTTTGTTTACATTCCATAGTCTAGACCATTAGAGAATGGCCTGCTGTTATCATTCTAACTTCTTTGGTTAGATGATGTACCTAAGTCCATTTAGCAGCCTTTTGGGAAGGCAATGTCTTATAACTAAGAGTAATCAAAAATTTCAGGGTCTTTTAACCCAATGAAAGTGTTCTGTAGTTGCATGTTGCTGGGAATGCTTTTCTGTTTATTTGTTGAAGGGGTTGACTCTTCAAACTTTTTTGCTCTCATAAAACTTCATTTTTTTTTTTTTTATTCCCCCACGATAGAGCTGAGAAAAAGAATTTGTCATGGTTTAATTCCAAACCATTTAGTAAGAGGACATAAAAGTTCTAGTTTTCAGAAAGCTACTCTTTCACATTAACGAAATGGTAGATTTGGACAACTTCAATTTATATATATATTATATATAACTTTTTTTTTTTTTTTTTTTTTTTTTTTTATCTAAATGTACAAATTATATACTATTAATTGAACATTCACGATAGTTTAATGTGAAAAAAAAATGCTGTATTCTGATAGTGATGGGTTTAAATTGGTTTGTAAAATCTCATTTTTGTATGAAATACTTGAATCTTTGAAAATTAGCATTAAACTTGTAAATTTTAAAAATGATATAAACTGAATTAAGAGGCTACTGCTTCTTTGGCACTTTGTCACAATGGACTATGCAAATGTTTCTCATGTTCTTGGAATGAGAAGAATCACTTTTCCATTGTAAACCTTAAGTGGTCAGACAAATTTTCACTTGTCTTTTTCATATACTTTGTTTTATAATAGTACATAAGGTATTATCTAAAATTCCAAATAACTTGTGGTAAAGTGCCTGGAGACAGCTTGATTCTCCTAGATTGTTTTCTGTCTATGTATGTAAATGAGCTAAGTAACTTACTAAAACATTTTCTTTTGTGACTTTAAAAAAAAGACCTTAATGTCTTACTGAAATTCATTTACTTTTTATCTTGATAGGTAAACTTGGATTTAAAATTTTCCCTTTTAAATTGAATTTCATCTAAATCTGGTAACTTTATTAAATGACTTGCCATGTCAAGTGATATTGTTGCTAATAAATCCTTTTTATTCTTTCAAAAATATACAGCTTTATGAAAATGTATTTTAAAGCAATGCAATTTAAAAATGCAAATTGTATCTGTGATTCTATTAAGTTCTCTATAGATAGGTATAACATTGCTAAGATTTTTTTTTTTTTTTTCTTTTTTACAAATCTTTCCCCTGAAAAATGTTTTCTGATAGCATAAATGTTTGTCTGGAGGTTACTTTAAAATTGGTTATTTTAAATACAAAAGAACTAATTGAATAAAATTAGTAAAATCAATTTTGTCCATATATGCTACCTTTTCATTTTCACTACTTGTAATAAAAATGAGGTCCCAAGAGGAAACCTTGTAGCATTGAGAAAAGTACCAAAGTTTTTTTTTGTTTTTTTTTTTTTTTTTTTTTTTTTTTTTTTTTTTTTTAAGTGCATTATTAAACTGGTAAGTCTTGTTAGAAAATAATCTCACTTTTATCCTTTTTATACAAGAAACCTTTCACTACTGACTGAATATGACTTGCTATTAGATGAAGCCTTCCTTGTGAAATTGTTGGGATTTCAACACCAATTTTTTTTCTCTCTGAATGGACTGGTAATATCTAGCAGGATACATAAACAGATAATGTGATTACCACACTTTGTCTCTAGCTTCTAAATAGTGTAATAAATTTAAGGTGTTATAAAATGCATTGATGTAGGAGTTGAATTGAAATCTATTGGTATTTCTTGTCTGGTCAGATTTCTTATGGCCTCTTAAATTTCTCTAAAGGATTCTGATTACTTTTTGAAATTTTTGAAAATTTTCACATAAAAATTTCCTTGTTGCATACTTATTTGGCAATCATTTACCTTTTTTTTTTTTTTTTTTTTTTTTTTCCTTAAACCACCATACTCCCCCATGTACTTGTCTTTAAAGCTTAAGGTCTGATCTAAATTTAGAAAAACCAGATTTGCCAATTTTTTTATGAATAAACTTTGTTTTTTTTTTTTTTTTTTTCCCTCCTACTCCTGTGATAATTTTAAAAATTGAATGTAGAAACTCCAGTCTGTTAAATTTAAGGTTGTCTTTATTTTCCCTTTTGGCAAACAAGGTATTAAACATTATTTTTATTTTCAACATTACAAGTGTTTATTTTAATCTCATCATTCTTTTGAAACTTTGCAAAATGTGCTTCTAAAAGTGTTTTATTGCTTGCTATATTTGACTAACATTTTTGAAGTTTCTTAGTCTAACCCTAAAAATTTTTTTTTTTTTTTTTTTTTTTTGACAACATAATATATCTGCATCTCTTCAAGTTATCAACAAATTCTTCCATAATTCTTAAACTCTTAAAACGTTTTTGGGTATAAAAATATCCAAGTCTCTCTTTTCAATTTTTAATTGCAATTTTATTGTTTCAATAAGTTTTTTGTTTTGTTTTGTTTTTTGTTTTTTTTTTTTTTTTTTTTTTTTTTTTCCTGCTTCAAATCTTAAGTGTCAAGTAAAAAAATTCGCTTTCTTTGAATGAATACATTAATAGCATAACTTGTACCATATTGAAAAATGTTTTGCTTTTTTTCTCTAATGTATTTATTTAAAAAAATCCAATAAAAAAAAAATAATTTGCTAGTGTATCAAGATAATCTCAAAATTGTATTTTAGAAATGTTTTTAAGTTCATTATGTACAGCTATCACTCATAAAGCAAGTAACATTAAGTGAATATTTGGAATAAGACTTAGTGATAACATTAAATTTATTAGTTAACAAAATGAAAAATTTGATTTGACAATATCACTTATAAATCTTGTAAGATTTTTATCTATTTATCAAATTGTATGTTTTTTTCTTTTTCAGTTTCACAAGTTTTTCAACCACTTCTTTCAGTGGGCCAGCTGGTGGTGGAAACTTCCGTTCTACCTCTACTTCTACAAAGTATGTCAATGGCAAGAAGGTTGTAACCAAAAAGTAAGTTGACTAGTGGTTGCGCTGAGGCTTTTTTTTTTTTTTTTTTTTTTTTTTAACCTGTATTAAATAGTAATCAGTGCTTAACATTGATTTTAGAATCTAGCCTGGGAAATTTACATAACCACTGTACACATCTTGATATAGAATAGCCTCAAAGTATTTTGTTCTTGATATTAGTAAAGGATATACTTGATTCCTCTCTTCTAATAGATTTCAATTGCTTCTATACATTTTAACAAATATCTGGAACTGCAAACTTAATCTATAAATTCTATTAACATTATTGAAGCATTCTTCATTGGTATGGGGACTTTACAAATTTAAGCATCCTACTAGATAGGCAGCTAGGTTTCTTTATTTTTGAGTCGAAATGGCTCGATGTAATTATAAGTTGTAGGTTAACAGTTTCTTGCACTTCTCAATTGTTGAACACTTTCAGCTTCTTGCTTTCTAGTCAAATTCAAAAGTTTAAATGCAATGTCAATGGTTATCTTGTCTTAATTTTTTTATTCTGTATTTCTCCTTCTTTCATACTCACTAACCCCTTGCATTTTGTAAGACAAAAATTGTCACCGTAGAATTCTCTCTCTTTGCTGCTCTAGATTCATTCTGTTGCCTTGAGGCTGTTGACTGTTATTTTTTATATTAAGCTGGAAATTACCTACTACTTTGGAACAAGGTTATACTTCTGTTTTCCAACACCATTCAAAATGGTGTTGGAAAATCTTTATTCAGGAGTTTTTCTTTGCTCATGACTCCAATGATTTTTGAAGGCTTTATTTGGATGGATATTGACGGTGGATTGGTTGAAGATGTTAACCACACTAATGACATGGAGGAAAATGATGGCCACTAGCAGCTAATATCATCCATGCTAAACTAATTTTATCAAAGCTACTGGCAACCATAGATATATCTGATAGGTTTTCTGAAGGTGAATTATTTTGTCCATTTATAAATGACAAAAACTTTATTTGTCAACACAAATAAATATGATAGAAATATGGAAGAGCAAACAAATGCTGGTGACTTCTATGTAAACACTAGGAAACCTCATTTTGATGAAATGAAAGCCTTCTTAGCAATTTTGCTTCTTATTGAAACCACCCAACTCCACAACAAAGAAATTAATGTGGTAAAAGATAAGGGATGTGTGCAATAATGAGGTTAAGTAAATAAAACAAAGCAATTTCCACATTTTGTTCAAACTTCATTCTTTCCAAAAAGCTTTTTCACTGCCCATAAAGTCACATCTACACCACTTGTCCGGTCACTCCCTACACATACAAACTTTATGGTACCCCAAGTCCTCATGCACTATGACTTTTGCAGGTCCATAGCTGATTCTTATGATTTCTGCCACTTGTGCTAACATGATTCAAGGCCTCCACTCTCTGGGCGTGTCCTACGTTGGGCAACTTGATACAGGCTTTAATCAGTTAGACTTGTTCTTCTCACTTTAAAGCATTCTACCAACTTGTACACCTCTTGTTTCATTCATGGTGAATGCTCACTGCACTAACATTTGTCAATTGTTTTTTTTGCAGGTTTGACATTAAAAGTGCAATCACTAAGTGGAGCATCCATACATCTTACCTTGTTGCTCCCTGCCATTCGACTGAACAATAGCTAGCTATCTCTCACTCCATGCAAGCGTGTGGTGTTGTGTATCTTGCTTCCATGTTTTTTGTGTGGTTTCAAAATTACAAAACGAATTTTGTATTCTTTCAATCTCTGCTCTGAAATGAATTCATCTAATGTTCAGTGACAAATTATTTGGAATTTGTTTAAAGCTTAATAATTTGGATCTCTTTAGTAAAGTTTTTAAGAAACTTAATTTTTTTTTTTTTTTTTTATAAATATTCCTTTTACTCAAGGCACAATTGTTTTTACATTACCATTTTAAAATAAAGGTGGTGCCCCTCCCCTGAGAAATGTTGGTTAGTTGTTTTAAAATATTTTTCTAATTTTCAAAGACACTAGATAACTTTTTTGTAGTTATTGATTACAAGAATAGGCAAATAAAGTAAAGAGCATTTGTGTAGAAATTGTATGGAAGACATTTTTTACTTTTAAAAAAAAAAAAATTAAAAAAAATAATACTTGTTCACAAGGACTTTCATTAGTTACTATTTAATTTCCTCTATAGACTTTTTTTTTTTTTTTTTTTTTTTTAAACTTGTCTAAACCTCTTGTAATTTTATTTTTTTAAATTTAAAAAAAAAAAAAACGTTATTAGATTAAACTATCCTATTTTCACTTTAGCAATAAACTAGTCATTGATACTGGCTTATCTATGAGGCTACCTTTCATGGACCAGGTAGGGATTGGCTATGATGATTTAAAAAAAAAAAAAAAAAAATTTCAAAATCCTTCAATAACACTGATTATTTTCCCAATAAAAGTACCTATATCTGTCTATAGAAAAAGACAGTGTTAAATGTGTTGAGGCAACTTCATCTGCCCATATTTTTTGTCATTTCACTGCCTGAAACCCATTGGTGTTCTAGCAGGTGGAATTGAGTTTGTGTGTGTGTTTTTTTTTTTTTTTTTTTTTTTTAACAGCATTTTAAATGCTATTGCAAGCATTTGTGGAGTTTTCTTGATGTAACCATGACAATGTAACCCATCACTGTAGATCAAGCATGCATCAGGGCTGTAACTGTTTGATATTGCAATTGAGGATATCATTGAATTTCTATTGGACTCAGCAGCCTATTAAGTTTCATAGAAAAGTGTTGTCAAATGCGTTTGCTAACAGTTGCCATATTGTGCTTAGCATACTTTTGAATCTTGAAGTATTCTCATATTGGCCAGTATTAATGTTGACCAGTTTGCAGTTTTCAAGTAAGCTTTTTCTAAAAGCTGACCTAAAAAGTGGTCCTTGAAATGTCAAAGGTTGTGTGTTCTTGTGGCAATCAGATTGAACTCTTGGATTAATGCAGCTAAATATCATTCATCCTATATACAATGTTGTGAAATATCTAAGAAAGAAAACTACCTGGCCAACTTCACATGCATCCTAACCTTAATTTGGGTTTCAATCTGTATTTATTTTTAATGAGAAGTGCACCCATTTGATGATAGTATTCTCTAAGTTTATCAAAGTCACCACTTAAATGTGATGTGTACATTAGGAGTGACTTCAAATTTTCTGGGTAAAAACATTTGACTCTTCTGAACTACAAAACATCACTTTCAAAACTCTTTTTTTTTTTTTTTTTTTTTTTTTTTTTTTATAGAGGGAATCTGATTAAACTAAAACATAATTATGCACTGCAACATTCCATTATTTTTTGTTTTGTGTTTTTTTTTTTTTTTTTCTTATTGAAATTATCTTTGTCATAAAATTTTACTTTTGTTTGCCCCATTTCAATAACTCTAGTATGTTCCAATTTTCATGTGAAAACGGAATTATAAAAAACTTGAAACCGATAATTGCTGCCCCCTCTCCAATTATGGTGGGCATAAGTATATTGACCAACATATTTACCAAACTTCTAAATTGCTTCTTTTTTTTTTTTCTTTTTTCCTTCTCAGAACCATGGAGAATGGCATAGAAACAGTAACTATTGAAGAAGATGGAGTTTTGAAGTCCAAAACGGTTAATGGAGAAGCACAAGCTTTGACTTACTGATGACTTGTAATGAGGTGACTTACTGGAACTGTACTTACACCTAATGTCATCTCAACAAATGGGACAATAATGAAGCATTAGAAAAGAAAGAAAAAAAAAAAAAACTTTACAAAAAAAAAAATAACAAAAATATACTGTACATATTGCTGGTAATCAGCTATGACAGTCTGGCACTTTTTCTTCCTCTCTTTCTCAACACTTTCAAGGATAAAAATAAAGTGTTATCACCAATGGAAACTTATTGAAATCTGCACCATTCTTGGGTGTATGTGTGCAGAAATGGTGATCAGTTATTTCCTATTATGATATTACTCTATAGGAGAATACTGTTCTAGGTCTGGGACAAGATTATATATATATATATATATATATATGTGTATGTAATTCTAAATAAAGCATTTGCTTTTTATTTTAAAATTTGGAATAAGCACATTAAGGAAAATTAATGGAAAAGCCATATTTTGAAATTCTTTGACAAGTCAGATGTCTCATTTGGTACAAATCTTGAGCACACTTGAAATCCTCATTGAGATTGTAATGAATGAGTGTGTATTTGGAAACTTAACTCTTTCACCTTTTCTTTCCTGTATTTGTTAATGTTGCTGCTGTCAGTTCTTTCCTCTTCACATTTAACACTGGATGGGATATAAAATGCTTTCTTCATAGAGTAAAATTTTGGGAAGTTGACATTCTTACCTGGACAAAGAATTTGGCAATTTGGCTATACATAAATTTTCCTTGGCTTATTTTTAGTTTCTTCCCCTTCCCCTCATCATCTTCATCTGAAAATATCTTCTGGAGATGTGAGCTTAGTGTCAGTCCAATGTTTTCTATGAAAATAAAAAGAAAAACTGGATTTCTCTTTCTCTCTCTCTCCTCACTGTATTCCTACCTTCTTCCAAAGTTAATTTCAGTTTGTTTTCCAATAGGAAGCAGCTGATTTCTATACAAATAGTTAAAAGTAGAGGAGATGATCTCTAGACTGTGAATATTCAATTTGAGTTCATCTCTGCTTTTGCATATGCGTTCCAAACAAAACTGTTAGTCTTGTCTTTTTAGCTCCTTTTCACATTCTGTTGTGCTTTCTTCATCCACACTTGCCTGGTACCCCACATTTGTCCAATACATCATAATCTGTTCCTCTCTTGGTTATAAAGCAAAATGTCATATTTTTCTAAACCAATATGGCTCCTCCGTAGAAAAAAATACTGGGGGGGGCATTAAGAGTGAGGAGCTTCTTTGACAACGGGATTTAATTTTATCATCTTTCATGAAGTAGAAACTAGGTATGGATGATGAAAGTTAAAAACCAGTAAAAAAAAAAAAAAAAAAGGAAGGGAAAAAACTTAATTTCTTTGTTTGCCTCTTCAAGTCATGGAATAATTTTAATTTTTGTGAATGTTGAATTACAAAATAAATTATTTACACTGAATTACGCTGTCTTCTTTTTCTCCCTCCCCACTCACTTTTTTTTTTTTTTTTTTTTATTTGTTCCTCCTTGACAGCTACTTCCAACTGACAATCACTTAATGGCAGACATTAAATGTAAATTAAGTTTAATTATAATTGCTGGAAGATGTGTGTATTTTTCTTTCTTAGAGATATTAAAGTATTTTTCTTTTAAATAAGAGCAAAAAATAACAATGACTCAATGGGGTGTAGGAATAGCATTTTTATTTGCTTATAACATTTTAAAGTAATTAAAATTATGATAAATGAGGTTATGGGTTTTCAAATACTTCAATACTGAAAATATTTTGTAGCTGTTATTTTGATTGCTTGTATATCTTGAGCTAATACTATAAAGTAATGCAGCCCTTTGTATTTCTTCAGTTTTCTTTTTAACCCTGCCAATTGTTGTTGTTGTTGATAAATGTTATGCAGATAACTGGAACTTGCTGGGTTTTACTAGCAGTGGGAAGAAAAAAAAAATCAAGTTGCACCTAAAGCATTGTCTAAGTTGTTTGTTTTATTTCTTTTTTGTTTTTACTTAAATTATAAAGCAAGGTATTAATGTTTGTATTTTTTTCTTGTTTAAACACTTGAAAGCTTGTGACAGTGCCATTACTTGAGAACTGATGAGTTTTCAATAAACACTCAAACAATTTTGGTGTGCTCTTTGTGTATCTCTCTTCCCTTAAATTATTTGCTTAATATTTATTCAATTTTTTTTCTTTCTTGTATTTTGCCCATCTTGAATATTTATGCAATATAAAATGTGTGCACTCTGATTCACATGTAAGGAACACTTTTCATTTGTCACATTGTAGCTTCAACTACAGAAACCCAAAAGCTATTTTGATTGGTCTCAGTCATGATCCCTATTTATTTAGATGAATTTTTGTCCTTTATCGCCCACCTTGTGTGAAGAGAAAATGTTCTTTTCATCATGTGAATTATAATATAAAAAAAATATTTCACTTCTGTTATAAGAGTGTTAATATACCATATTAATAAGGAGGATGTCTTACTTGATGCTGGTAGCAAGAGGAAGAATATTGTATTCTTTGTTTAAACCTGTGTGACGGGTCCTTTCCCAGAAGTGTGTGTGTGTGTGTGAAAAAAAAAAAAGCAGTTTTGGACCAACTGCTTATAACCATTCCGGCAATTAGTACAATCTTATTCTTTGCATTTCATTGATATAACTTCCTTTCAAATGGATTAATATTTATTAATTGCGTTAGGTGACAAAGCTGGTTTAATACCTTTTTTTTTTTTTTTTTTTTCTTTTTTTTTTTTTTTTTTTTTTTTTTTTTTTATAAATTTGCATCACTTTAAAATGCAATTGTTTTCCTGTTACTAATTCTTAAACTTGCAGGTTTTTTTCTTTAGGAATGAATTTGCACAAAATACTATATTATTGAAGTAATATTCATTGCAGCAGCTATAATCAAAGTAGAAAATTTTGAACTGGTGACTTTTTCTTAGTAAAAAGCCTAAGCATATTTTTATTGGTTCGTTATTAAAGTTGACTATATTTTACTGCTATTGCCTGAGAAGGTATGGTTGTTGGGTCCCCAAACTCCTCACTTTCCACTTTTCTATTATAGCAAACTTGTAAAGTTTTGGGACATGAAAAAATCACTTGTAGATTTTTCTTCCCCCACCCTGGCCATGCTTCAATTATCTGTTCAAGTTGGTTTCTTTTACATATAAATAAACTGAAAATCTGACTGGATTAGTTGAACTTTCAAACTAATTTCATATATCAGTGTCAAAAGATTTGAATTGTGTGCCTTCTCATAATTCATCTGGATGTGCTGGTTGGTGGCTCATATTTCACACAAATACCATCTCTTGCCAGACTAGGAGAAAGTCTACCTTCTGGCTCTGCACATACATCCATGAAAAGGATTATGAAGTTGTAGATGATCTCTACTCTGGTTGATTCATAAAGTAACAGCACAGTAACATGTCTTTAAATGATGTTCGTAAAAAGCTAATCTGGTGTTTCTTTCTGTAGTAACTTCATGGTCAAGAATCCTTGGTGACTAGTCTGGTAAGGGGCCCTTGTTCACTGGAACAATTATATGCCTGCTTGCAACTTCCCCTTCCTCAAAGGATAGATTTATTCATCACAACTATGATCTGGTCTCCTGATAGTCTTGATAACTACCATAACAATACATTATTGGTGAGTAATTGTTATGCTCCATATGGCCAATTCTTCATGTGACAGTGTTCAGATAATTTCATATGTTAGAAAGTGAGTTCATCTAGGTTTAAAAACATTTTTTCTAGAATGATTTGTCTCGTTTCAGTCTTGTCAATTTTAGTACCAATATTAAGCTGAATGTTATTCCCATTTCCTATGCAAATTAGTTTTGGCTTCATCTCACTTTGTTTCACATAATTTAGATGCGATAAGCCTCTTATGGATGATCTAAAAAAAAAAAAATTTTTTTACTAAAACAAGGTTCTTAAAATAAAGATACCACTAGATTATTTTAATTTGAAATGCATCAGTTAAGCAATTTTATTGATATTCAAAAATGTACACAAATCAGTAAGGCAAAAATTACATGATGGATATTTTTTTTTTTTAAAGGAAATAAACACTTATTTAGGTTTAGTGATAAGTCTTTTAAATTGTAAATGCCTCAGACACAATTGTTATCTTTTGGTTTTCATAGAAAACTATTTTTGCCTTCTATTAGCATGGCTGATGCTAACCTCCTTGCACCTTCTTGATCTCACTTTTTGTATTTTAAGAAAGTGGGGGGATTATATTGAATCACTTGCTAGGTCTACTGCAAGGAAAGTTAGTTCAGACTATAATACCAACCAATTTTCATGCCAATCCATCTTACACATATGACTGGTAAAAGTGCATCATATCTTTAGATTCATGACAATTGAAAGGAGGGTCTGTAACGTTATCAGTTCTGACCTGACCTCTTGACTTTCTCACTGCTGTTACTTGGTTTGTCTTTTTCTATATTTTCATGGCAGTCTTTCAAAAAGCTCTTTCTCAGTACTTCAACTGCATAAAAGTAAGTATTACTAGGTTTTATCATTTTACTGTTGATATAGCTACATTTCTAGTCATCTAATGAAATAGTTTTTCTCATGTTTCTTGCTTCTGTCATGTTTTCCTGAATCCTCTTATTTTATTATGCTTCCTTCTCAACTAGTCTTCTAATACTTTCACACTCAGTAAACATTTGTGTCTTAGTGGCATTATTGCCTTGCTTCTAGAATTCATTACTTTTAAAGAAAATGAGAATTTCGTATTGGTCAGTACCTAAAGATTTCTATGTGCATGAAACTTGGCTTAGCAACCTGTGAGGAGTCATGTATATTATTAGATCCTTGCAAAAATTTGACAGATTAGAAAATGAAAATAAAATTTGACATACAAAAATCATTAGTCAAGTACATAGTCTCCATTCTTATTAACTATCTCCCATGTTACAAGCTTGTTGATGCCAGTTTTTTTTACAAGGTTATTAGTACTTCTTGGTCCTAGCTATTAAAAGTTTATTTTGTCATTTAAGTTC